CAGTAGTTTCTTTAGATATTGAGAACCATAAGAGGAAATATCTGGAAGGGCAGTTGCCGTTGAGCATGAGGGCATAAGGAGGAGCACGGTGTCTCATGCACAATATCCCACATGAGTAGTGGAATCAAAGTAGATCCCTGAAGTCACTGAAATAGCACAATGCTTGGCTACAAATGGCTCATTATATCAACAAAATAACATATGAAGTTTTCCATGAAAGAACAGGAAAAGTTTAGTAAATCACAAGACTGGCTATGGAATTAAACAGTCACTACAATTACTACAATGCATTTGTCCATAGTTGATTTTTCAAAAGCCTACTACACTATTAATTGTATATGTACTTACACAATAATTATATCATCTTGCATGTACTATAGCCACAATTCAGCACTTATTATAAAAGCAGAATCTTTGTCTTAGTCACAACTCTATGTTCAGTAAAAGACATACGAGAGCATTCATGACTATACATAAAACTCACAAACATCACACAAATCTGAGAATCTGAGAAATCTGCACACTTCTTCCAGATGAGCCTGCATGTACTGTATTCATGACTCATGAACATAAACAGACAAGCAGGAAGAAAACAAGCAATGACTTACTGAGAAGTGTTGACCGGCACCAAGCAGCATCATACATGAATGCAAAAGAAACAAAAATGTGGAAGACGAGCTAAGGAAGGATATGAAGGTTCTCATAGGATGAGGATGCTTTGAGAAACTCTGGTCTCAGGGAACGTCCTGATGAGAGGTCTGGGCTTAGATGTGGTGGACCAGATGCTTGTGCCTGCAAAGAATGCAATCCCTGGAGACTCAGACACGATCATGTTCCCCAAACATAAAATGTCACAGAAAATATCAATGCTGCAGAATCTTTGCCTGTATCTTTCTCAGGAACATAGGTATACAGTATTCAAAATTTATAGATTCTGTAGTGTTTTGTGGTTGTTCCTTTTATCAGTCATAAGAATAGACTATATGCAGGATGTAGCAGAGGGTGTTAGAGGGGCCCAAGTGCTTTAGGACTTTTACTTTCAGTTCTGAACAGATGGAGTTCCTGCGACTGATGATGATGTCCTGGAAGACACTCAAGAGGAAAATGTTTTCCAGGGTCATGCTACTGCCCACTTGTGAGGATAGGAAAAAACTGCATCTGTAAACACTGGAGAATTTTGGTATTTGAAGACCTTCCATGGTCCCAGATTCCTCTTGAGAGACTGCCTAAGGAGATGGCCAGTCTGGTGCCTGAGAAACAAACCTGCTGACCTTTGAACTACTGAAGTAAGAAAGACAGAATAACAGAGTTGTGAGAAAGATCCTAGGATTCCAGTGAGAATCTGGAAACAAAAAACCATTCCAAATATCACCTTAATGGAGGTCATTCTCTTTCTGCCTGAGATTTAACATAAATGTTAAATGTACAACATTGTGTTTGGAAACTTAAATTGTAAGTTACACCTTCTAACTCAATGCAGTAGGATTAGTTAGAAGCTAAGAATGATTTCCTTTTATGCAAATAAGTTATCATAAAGGAGATTTTATGGCTCATTTAAATGTCATCAAAGACAAGATTTGGACTTGGCAACCAGGCTGGAATTACATGCTTATCTCTGTGCGTGCTATCAGAGATATGGCAATTGCTGCTCAATATTCCAACAATGTGTATCACTTTTCCTATTTTAAATCTGCTTATTAAGTTGTCAAACGGCTCCAAGCTCAGCACTTCCCACTACCTTAACAATAAAGTTCTCTAGAAATCTGCTCGGTGGTCGTAACTTTACTTGCTGTCCAACTGAAAGTCGGAGATGAAAACTCCTGTGCCGGCGCAGACTGAGTCACTTCTCAGCACACAGTAGACACCTCAGTCTAAGTGCTGCTCTTGCCCAGACAACATACAGCGCTCATGTTATTGCATAAATGCTCATCACTGTGCATTTTTGGGCTTTGATTGCATAAAATAGCATAACCATGACTCTAGGAAAAGACATAATAACCAATAATAAAGCTAAGAGGAATACTGTACGAATCACAGTAGAGTTAAAGAAATAAACATTGTGAATTTTGTTAAAGTCATGGAAAAATGAGTATAATAAGTATAATTTTGGGGCCTCAGGACTGATTATTCGGTTTTCCACTTTTCTTATGGGAAAAATATGTTCAGTTCTCAAACTTTTCAGTGTTCAAACACAAATTTGGAATGAATTGAGTTTGATAACTGAGGTATCACTATAATTATAATTGTGATAATATTCAACTTTGTAGATATATTTCTTCCATAAAAGAAAATTGCTAGTCAGTGAATATTTAATAGTGTACTAAAATACCAATGCTCTATGTATTTGCTTATAGTTAGGTTGATTTGAGTAAATATGAACCACCAATAGGATAGAAACAGAAAAAAACATATATTTACAGCTAAAAATGTTTAATAAAAAGAACTTTACACTAAGGGAAATTATATCAATTTAAAATAAACACAATCTGTGCATATGTTCATATACACAGGTATTAGACTCATATATACATATTCACACATGCATATACATGCATAAACATGGGCTCTGAAAACAGTTAATTTTACCTATTAAATCCCATAGTGAGCTGCTTTTCATGATTCCTCAGTAACATGCTAAATAATTCAGAGAATGTGAGTCTCTAGGATTCTTTATGAATTTAACACTCATTTCAACTACAACTTCCAATTAGTTTGTTAAAAGTTGAAAAACTGGTCTCTATATTGGTTTTAATTTCCATTCTTTCCTCATGCTCAGATGATGTCCCTTCTTTCACTCTTTCTTTGCAGGCCCTGTGGTACCCCATGTATCTCATCATAACAACCCTAATAGAGCAAATTAAAAGACTGCAAAAGTAGACAATGAGGTTTTTGTGATGACTTCTCACAGTAGTGCAGTGTCCAGTGGGACCCACAGACTTTCCTATCTCTCCCTAAAGGCACAGGGCTCCATCCCCTGCCTCACTGCGTGACATCATCTGTACAGAAAAGATGGAAAGTGAGCAACTCCACTACAGGCTCCTCTGCTAGATGCTCTTCACAAACAAGAAACTTCTAATTGTGTCTGGGAAATTGGAAATAAGGGAAAGTTCTTAGATACACAACTTTTGTTCACACCACGGAATTCCTGATTATTTCTACCCTGTAGGGAGGTGAAGTCACAGGGTAATCAACATTTATCCCTGTGTCTGGTCCTCTCCCTTCCCTAGGCACAAACACCCATAGGGCTGTCACTCTGATTTCATCATTCTGCTAGCACAAAGGAGACAGATGAGTGTTTCCTTTTTTAGTCTGCCAGGGCGAGTCTGCAGGAGACACAAGAGAAAGAGGCTCTTGATCTGTGCTCTTGTGCAGCGGTTGTGCTTTTGAGTAGAGACAAATGTGCACTGAGCCCCATGGACAGGACGAAAGTGGAGATGCGGACAGAGCCTGGGGATGGAGGCTGTGGGACCGCAGCCCTGTGCTGCTCCCTACTGACTGCTGATGGTTTCCAGTTCAGCCCTTGCTGGTCATGATTGCTGGAGCTGGGGAAATAGGAATGCAGTGTGAGTTCCAGGACATGTAGGACAATGACTTGCACATTATCCTGTCCTTGAAAACGCCACCAAAAAGTCACACAGAAATTTCTGTTTTCATGACTGGTACTTTGTATTTAAATTGTGGCATTGGTACAATGTACCTTGATGTTTCTATTCCATCCCTCTCATCCCTTTTGTCCCCCACTACATCCTCTTCCCAGTAACACAGTGTTTATCTCCCTGTTTCTTGAAGTGTATCTTTTATTTCAGTCTTTATTTATATTTTTATTCGCTCACATCTGATAAGTAATGTTTAACCTTTGTGTCTGCCTTAATTCACTTAGCATTATGATATTATCTCCTTCTGAATCAGGCTTGATATGCCAATTGACTGGGTAACTCTATTTCTATATAAAATAGTTGAAGTAGGTTGGCACTGGGGATACTTTCCTCCTTGAAGGTGAAGAAAGACTTAAAAATCATAACTTCATTCTTGAGGGTGAAGCGTGGAAACAACATATTCTAGGCATTGACTGGAGGTGTATCAACCCTGTAATACTTTTAGCCTAAAAAGTGCTATTAAAAATGTCATTCCCACCTCTCCTTCATTTCAACTTCATACATTTGCTGCAATAAGTTTAATTTCCATTTGGTAGAGTTGTTTCAATCTTAATATCTTGTAAAAGTCCCACAATATGTAGAGTGTTTAATTTTTTAGAAAATAATGAATAGAACAACATGCTCTCTGTACTGATGTTAATTTAGTTTATTTTCTAAATATCTTAGCACTTAATTTCTTATATATGTTAAGCTTCAGTATTGTAGGAACCTCATGCTTGTGCCATATTTTATTCAGTACGCCACTTTACAAAAAACAAGATGCCTGTTTTGCTACTTTAAGTTTCTTCATATGTAATTAATTCTGCTTAGAAGAAATAAGCAAATATTTCATCAAAATTTTCATTCATGCACTATTTCCCGTACAGTAAAATGTTGATAACAATGCATAATTAACATATTCAAATGCATGAAACAAAAGGAGTGAATGTAAAAAAAGAGAGAGAGATGCATATATTATTTGAATAACAAACAAGGAGGTATGATTTTTAAAAACTGTAATAATAATAGCACTAATTCTGAAATTAAACCAAACCTTATGAGTATGTATGTGAATCATGAAACAGTGAATAAAATTCCTAGTAGTGTAAAAACACTCAAATACTACCTAAATCATATAAAAGTGGGTATTGATATAGTTATACTATGAAACATGATCATAACAGTGATCCACATAAAGTAAAAACTGTTCAATAAACACATGAAACTTGGTAATGAAACCAACAAAAGGAAATATACTTTGCAAATAAGCTACTAGGGAAAATCACGGTAAAGGGAGGAGTATCATGTGTAATTGTATATGCGATAAGAAAACTCATGTTTTTTTTAAAGTCTCAATTTACCAGTATGAATATTGAGCACAGAAATGACAGTATGGCCTCCATGGATGTAAAAATTGGCATAGCCTTCATTGTGCAGGTGGTCATTGGAACTGTGGGGAATTTCTCTTTCTTTAGTCAGGACATATTCCTGTGCTACAGTGGATACAAGAAAAGGTCCACAGACTTGATTCTCAGACACCAAACTGTGGCCAACTTCTTGGTCATTCTCTCTAAAGGAATCCCAGAGACCATGGCAAGATTTGGGTTGGAGCACTTCCTCAGTGATTTTGGATGCAAATTTGTTTTCTATGTTCACGTCTTAAGCAGAGGTGTATCCTTTGGCAGCACCTGCCTCCTGAGTGTCTTCCAGGCCATCACCATCAGCCCCAGAGACTGGAAATGGGCACAGTTTAAAAGGAAAGTTCCCAAGTACACAAGCATTTCCACTGCCATGTGCTGGGTGCTGCATTTGTTGCTGAGCTTCGGTTTTGCTGTGAGTATAACTAGCAAATTGAAAACCAGAAACATCACAGATAAAATGGACTTTGCATACTGCTCTGATGTACATCCCATTAGAGGGTTATATTCCTTAAGTATAGCATTGATCTCCATCAGTGATATTCTGTGTATGGGGCTCATGCTCTTTGCCAGTGGCTCCATGGTTTGCATCCTGTACAGGCACAAGCAGCAGGTCCAACACATCCATAGGTCTAAGAGCTCCTCCCGATCCTCTCCGGAGAGCAGGGCCACTCACAGTGTCCTTGTCCTTGTGAGTGTCTTTGTGTTTTTCTACACCCCCTCTGCCATCATGCACATGTATCTGACTTTTTCTGGAAAGCCCAGCTCCTTCCTGCACACTCTAGGAGCCTTCATAAATGGATGTTTCCCAACCATCTGCCCCTTCTTGCTCCTGAGCTGCGGTCACAGTGTATCCCGAGTCAGCTGCATCAGCTGTGCAAGAAATACAGAGCCAGAGCCATCTCATCACAGCAGAAAAAATCTGTGCACCACCTGCTTTTCAGTATTGAGCTACGGGCGGACTCCACTGCCAAGGACTGTAAAAATGCAGGGGACATAAATTGATGTCATATTTTGTTATTTAATGTCTCCTCATTCAGACTTGAACAGTAAGACTTTCTGCATATCTCTGCTCTCTCTGCTGCTCAGAAATTGTCCTCTAGAAGCCCACTACACTCTTTCCCTTTTTGGTGCTCCTGGAACTCCTGGGACATCACCATCTCATTTTAGAAACTTTGCCTTATTCTGGAACCAAAGCCAAAGCTGTCCACAAAGTGCTGCTGGGTGGGTGCCATGTTGCCTTTGAAGGAACAAGAAAAGCTTCTCAGGCTAGGGATATCACACAGTGGCACAGAGTCTGCCTGACAAACATGAGGTCTGGAGTTCGAGTCCTGGTGCCAAAGAACAGAAGAAGCCCCTTGTAATTACTAAAACATGGTAACATGAGCTTGCATGAGTTAAAAAACTGCTGAGTTTTCTTTTGAGAGCCTTAGATGTCTGATCCAGGAACTGTCTGATGTCTGTTGCACAGACTGTCCCTGGGTGCCCCTGCTGTCTGTGCTTCCTGCGTGTGGTCCAAGGGTCTTTAGGAGAGGGTTCCCAAGCTGATCTGAGTTCTAGCACAGCTCTCTCCACTCTCCATGTGTCTGAGAAGCCTGTTGTTCTGTAGTGGTTGTTCTCTGAGATCCCCTATATTTTCTTTTTTTTATTTTATGGAAAAAAGGTAAAACAAAACTTCATTACAAGATGATAGAAGGATAACAATAGGTAATACATTGCATACTCTTATCTTTAATGTAGTGGATCAGAGTATGAGATATAGGCATAGAAATTTCTCCAGTTGATATTTGCAGAAACCTTCCCTTTCTATGAACTAAGAGACACTAATAGCACAACTGACTTGCATTTTCTTCTCTCCTTTCCTTTCTTTCCTTTTTCCCAAGTCCTAGTTAATTTTTCCTTCTCAATAATTCCTTCAGATTTCACATCTATAATACATTTCAGACCTTATTTACTCTTTAATTTCTCACACCAAGAAGATAATATGATGTTTATGCATGTGAGTGTGATTTATTTCACTAATGAGTATGACATCAAATTGCATCCATTTACCTATAAAAGTCTCAAGTTTATCTTTCTTTATGGCTAAGCAGTACTCCATTATATAAAAATACCACATCTTTTCTATTCATTCCTCCGTTGATGGACACTTGGGCTGTTTCCAAGATTTAACTATTATAAACTGTACTGTTACAAACATGGGTGCACCTATATCAATGTGTTATGATTTTCATTCTTCTGGGAAATTATACAGAAGAGGAAGAGCTGGTTCAAGTGGACCTCTACTCTTAGCTTTTTGAGGTATCTCCACTGACTTTAACAGTGATTTACTAGTCTACATGAGGAGTTCAGCAACTTCAGCCTGATTCAGTTTTATATTCCTTGTATCATTTCTTCACACCCTTAACCTGTTCCCTCAACCTCTGCTAGTAATAATTAGAAAACTCAACTCATATTATGTGTCTTCTCATGGGTCACATAACGTACCCACCTCCTAAAAGCATTCAGAGACTTGAGCAGGTTATAGACCTAGAGGCAACAGTAGGTTTTGAGGATAAGTTCTGAGAAGTATCATTATTTTTCTTTGTAACCCCAACTACAGTGGTCATTCTTGTTTCTATTGAAAACACAGGATAAGTTTTCTCACTCAGAGGTGGTGAGATCAACAGCACAAAGTATGGTACATGGAACACATGAGAATACTGGAGCTGAATTTCCCAAGCCTCACTGGAGTCCTCTAAAACATCTTCCCAATTTACTAGATTCTATTTTTATCTGATCAGCATCCCCTCTTCAAATGTAGACTCTTTGAATTTGAGGGATTTAATATGTGCTGCAATCGAGCAATGGCATGATGTGGGTTTGTGTTCTGTTTTAAGCAATTCAGCCCTAAGAAAATGGGAAAGAATAAGTGAAATAAATCAGACCTGCATGTGTAAGCAAAGTATTGTCTCACTAGTGTAAGAACCTGAAAGAGTGAATAAAAACTAGGAGGTGTGATAGACATTATGAAACAAAAGGAAAATGCTCAAAAGTATAGGACAACTGGGGTATGGGAAAAGAGAAGGGAAAGAAGGGGAAATTATGTATATATGTATATACAGGATAGCTAACATAGTTGTACTACTGTCTTCTTTTGCTTTACTGAAAAGACAGTTAATGATTATTTGTTTGATCAATCTTCCATGTCTCTGTTTGTTTTCCTGAGAAACCTCTTTGAAGATATCAATATGTAATACAACAACCGTTGTGAATTTCCTACAATTTTGTCTGTAACTCTGTATTGTTTGTATTTTGTAAATCGATGTCTGTTTGTTAATATGTTTTCCTTCTTTTATTTTTAAAATAAATTTTTTAAAAAGGACATAAGTACAAGGCTTTAAGTCATTTATCTATGTCTAAAGCTGGGATATCAAATTTTTCAGAAAATTTTTCTACCTTATTACTTGTACTGAGATGCTAACAGCAAACAGTCAAAGTCATTATAATCTTCAGTTTTTAAATAATGCCCCAATTATCCTCTTCAGAATCACTAAATTCCTTTCACTTCTAAGTTGTGTCTTTCTGTAAATGCTTCACATTATGTACCGTCATTCTACTCTACATCATTGAAGCAGAGACCATGGTAAAGTTAGGTTTTAAGAAATTAGAGAGCCAATTCAAGAATTAATAAGACAACTGATAAAATGCATCCTTACTATTTGTTTCTCTAGAATTGCTCTCTAAACCAAATTCTGTATTGTTTAGGGTTTTCCTGAGGAAAAAATCAATATCATACTATGCATATTATTCTGTATAATGCAATACTGTAATGTTTTATTACATGATTATAAGAGGGGATTTATTAGGTTCACAGGGTCAAAAGTGGCCTAATTCACAATGGATGTCTCTATAATGTAGAACCTGAGGCTCCAGAGCTGCTCAGTCCAAGAAGCTGGAAGCCAGAGAAGAATAGTGATCAAGGATGCAGCACTAGTTCACAACTGAAGGCCTGGAGTTCCATAGACAGGGATGGTGTGAATCCAGGAGGAAAGCCCAAACTATTTATTGTCTGATGTGAACAAAAATCACTGTAGCAAAGAGGCAATCAAAGAGCAGAGTAGAGCTTTGCTACACAAGTCACCTTCTTCTGCGTCTTCCATTTTCGACCTGGGTTTCAATCCTATTGGAATGCAGCCAACCGCAGTCAGGGTGAATCTTTCTTTCCTTTTGCATTAGGTGGTCTTTATGTGTATTTTCTCAGGATAATCTCCATAGTTCAAATCAGAGACATGCTTTCCTAACCTGCTATATATTTCTCAATGCAGGCATGCAGTTTACATTGTACATGCAGCTTGCAATCATCTTTTGGAAAGGATAAATGTAAATAGCACATCTAGATTCAATTTTTAATCCTTTTGATTTTTTTCAATCCCAAACCTTTCTCTCCCTCCTCTAAAACCCCTTTTCCCATTTGCATTCTTGTTGATATTGTTAATCTTCTTTCTTGTTTATGACATATAATGTTTACATTTTTGAGGTTATGAAATTCCTGTACATGGCATAACTTTATTCTACTTAATTCCCTTCCCTGTCTCCTGCATCCCTCTCTTAGTCTCCTGGACCCCTTTTCATTTGCAAGAGATTCCTCCCCTCATCTCCTTCTACCCATCCTTTATTGTGCTTTTTCTTTGTACTTTGCCTTACTCAAATGAGAGGTGTTACACTGTGTCTTGCACCAGTAGCTGGATGGAATTTGGGAGACTGGATTTCTAAGCCAAAAAATTGTCCCAGAGTGAAGGGTTCAGTGGGACCCACAGGTTTTGCTGTCGCCCCCGAGACTCCGGCCTCCACTTTGCCTGTGGCCTCCTTGTGAGACACCATCAGCCCAGTGAAGATGGAGATTGAACTCCTCCACCACATGCTCCTCTATTCTTTGGAGGTGCTCAGCACAAAAAAGAAACTGCTGTTTCAGGGAATTTGGAATTCAGAAAAAGTTTTCAGATACACACATTGAAGTTTACACTGTCATTGTTACCATACTAAAGCATATAATTTCTAATTTGAGAAGTGAGGTCACAGTATCCCGGATGTTCTTGTGTGTCTGACACCTGGATCCAGTGTGCAGTGTCCTATATGCCTGTCACCTACTGGTCATCAACCTGGTAGCAGAAAGAAATAGATGAATATTTTCTATCTTACTAGGACAGACAGAGTCTGTGAGGGAAACAGAAGGAGCGGGTTCTAGGCGCGGTTGTCTGGAGATGGTGTCTTCCCTCTGTAGAGGCTGATGATCTTCACCAAGGCTGAGCAGATGAGAGACTGGATAGAAAAGGTGCACAGAGAGAGGGAAGATGACATGCTCACAGCTGACATGTTCCTGTATAACTCTCAGGGGTCTCAGTTATTGCAGCTCAGTGTGAGCAGGATCAAAGTCTGAATTTTTTGATGAGTAGCACTCTAATATGGAAGCTAATCTCTTTTCCATAGTAGCAGAGAGTAACTTAAGAGACATTTTCTGAATCACAGTTTTCTATAAGTAGTTGGCACCTGTGTTGTGTATGGTGGATTGGGGTGCATGGTCCAAATTTTTGATTAAAATTCAATGAATAGCAGTAGGTAAAATGGAGCAATCTTCTTCTATCCTGGATATGATGTGCTTAATTAAACCTGTAATTACATCAATAAAAGTATGACAGAGTACAATAAAATCATGGTAATTTGTTGATACTGCTATGAAATTTTCCCTTCTAACATTATAGGAGTGCTGACAACTTTAGCATAAATAAATGAGCAATCATAGGATGTAGGATTTTCTTTGGTTACATTTTCACTAAGGCACTCTGTGCCCCTCTTCTATGTCTGACTTTCCTTGTCATTATCCTGTGTTGCTTATGTTCATTTTATATCTTTGTGTAGTATTTCCTTCTTTCTCCATCAAGCAATGTCAAAATGTATTACTTTTCCCTAAAGTACTGAAGAAATTATATATTTTACTAGAATTTATAAATCAGGTTCCTC